ACATCACATGCCGGCTGGGCCGCAGCGTGGGGACCCCAGGAGGCAGGGTCTCTAATGACATCCACCATTTTGGATCAGACGGGGCAGCGGTTTCAACTGAGAACAAGCCTTTTCTGCTTTATCTGCTGAGCTGGTGAAGCCCACGGGTCAGGGTGAGAGAAATGCTGGTCAGGCCTCCAGTCAGAGCTGGTTCATCACAACTGACTTCATACTGTATCATCACTGATTTCTTTCTGTGTTTTTGGTCATTTCATTTAACTTTCCCCCAGCTTAGTTTTTGCTGTGTCTAACTCTGAGGTGGTCCGAAGGCACAGGTTTCAACTTTAAACCACACACTTGGACGATGAAGAGTGAAGTAATCATTTTTTGTCCTCATAATATTTAATACACGCAGTAAAGTAGGGAAAACGTACCGGTATTTCATGAGAGAGCATGAGTTTCGATTTCACCTATAAATATCAGCGTTGGCCGGCTGACAGACTTCTACTCTCAGTATTCTGTGACGTTTTTAAATGTTTACAGAGTAGACGTTCATAAGCATTATCAAATTCCTAATTTATTAATGTCTATCAGGTTTCATCTTTAAAAATACTGCGAAGCAAACACCCAATGTGTATAATAGCATTTTCTTCTATATATTTTCAGCAAACAATTATAACTTACATTTTTCTTGGGAGCTCCGTTTTGCTTGGTTTAATCACCAGGACCTGAAAAAGAAAATAGAAAAAAAAAAATAGCAATAACTCTAAAGTCCTTTCCTTTATAGCTTCCTGCAAGAAGAAACCATTAAAGCACAACACATTGTCTGGGGTCAGTCTGAAAATGTTTGAGGAAGTGCATAGTAATCAAGTGAAACAGACAGACGAAGGAAAAAAAAAAAACGCTTCGTGAGAAACAGACGTAAATAATGGACCAGGAAACGGGAGATCAAAGCTTCTGAGTCAGGTCCTTGTTTGTTTTCATACTCACCCAGGCCTCGCCATAAAACACGCAAGAGTCGCACTTCAGTTGCGGGGAGGGATGGGGGGGTTGATGCAAGGAAGTGCTGAAAGCCGTTACGTCCCATCCTGAGGATCCCGTGCCACTATCCCCTTGTCAGGGAAAGGCGTCAGGTACAGCACTGTTTACCAGGAAAAGGGAAAAAGCGGCACAAAAAGTCCCAAATCAGAGGAAAATCCATTCAGGAGTCAATGTTTTTTTTTAATTGGCCCAGACCATTTTCTTACCTTTTCTTTCAACAGGTTCTGCACAACATGGTGTTCCCCTAAGAATCCTTCTATGAATCCCAAAAATATCCACAGACTCCGGGCTGCATTCCGTATACATTGCGTGCCTCCGAGCCAACGGGTGACGTCACTGGGTTTCTAAGTATTGGCACAGGATGGGTTTACGGGCCAGGACGAGAAAACACAATACAGCCCACGCCGACACACACACACCACTCCCTTTGTTTCTCTCCGTCTCTGTAGAAAACACACACATTCAGGCAGTTGGAAGGATGTTCTGCTTGTAAAACATCTGAGAACATGCTTCTCTGACACCACAAATAGATTTCAAAGTTTTCTCATTGAAACCAAAAAAAAAATGTATTACAAACACACTGATATGGACATAAGTTCATTTACACATACATTTTGAATTTGAGGTTAAGTGAAAAAGTCAAAAAGACTTGAAATTCATATTATTTATGATAACAACCCGCTTCTTTGCATCGTCTAAGAACTGACATCAAGTTGGTCAAAAAGACTTGAAATTCATATTCACATTCAACAACCCGCTTTTGCATCGTCTAAGAACTGACATCAAGTTCCTTTTACATGTTCTGTCAGTAATGACAATAATTGACAATAATTTTCACTCAATTTTTACACAGATTGTTGTTTTTAACCTAAGCAAATAAAACGTCAAAAGCTTGAAAACAGGGTTGAAAAACCTTAGCAAATAAAACGTCAAAAGCTTGAAAAAAAAAAAGAATTAAAATAAATAAAACAAAGCTGTTGGACACACCCGAGAGACAACGTTATAGCACATAAAATCAGATATGTTTTTAATTATAAAAATCTGACTTTTTGACTGTGAAATAAATTATGATCTAAGCATGATGGGTAAATGACATACTGGATACAGTAGAAGAGACAGTGCCATGGGGTGGAGTGTCTCCATCACATAAATGTTTCTGAAGGCCCGTCTAAATGTTCTGACCTTTTCCTGTGGTAATTCACTCCACCGTCCACTGAACGCCTATGTCTGAATGTGTATGTGTGACACACAAAATCAATATCATTTTGGCCCCCACTTGACTCTGACCTCAGCCTCTAATAGTGTTTTGATATGCAGGAAAATTAATTCTCTATAATGGAGACCAGGGAGGGCCATGGACTTTGATCCCATTTAGTCCAGGACAGTTCAATACAGTTCCCAGGACCATGTGTGGTTCACTCCTCTTCTCAACACCCCTGAATAATCCCCCTGGGTTCAATACACAGGTACTAATAGCAATATTATGCACAATTCCAAGATGGGACCAATAACGCAGATTAATTATTTTGCCATTACCGCGACGTCTAAATAAATATCAGTCTTAAACAGCTAAATCCACTCCCTGAGAATAAGCAGTAAAGGCCAGACGGGAAGGTGTGATTGATTTAATCGAGAGCCCATTGACATCCAAATAAATTCAAGTTTGGGGAAGCTTTTCCCGCGGTGCAGTGAATCTAGCTCACCGCACCCCCTTTGCCTCTCGAGTCCATTTGTATTGATTCCAATCTCTCAGGCCTCTCCAATAAAGCTGGGTTCATGAGTTCATTATTACAAGAATGGAGGTGTAATTGGTTTTCAGGCTTACAAGAGGCTATTTGCACTAATCTATCTGTGGTGCTGAAGTTAACGGTCACTCTGAATGGCACATTGCGGGTCAGCTTTACTCTGTGTTCCTGTAGTTTTGGGCCTATCAAGTCAGTCAATAGGCACATAAAACAGATATAGTGGAAAACCGATGCTTTATTGATATGTTAAGGAACAGTGATATGTTAAGGAGTGCTTATAACAAAAAACGTTGGGGCGGGGGGGGAGGTAGGGGGGGGTAATAACAACAAACCATAAAAATATAAATTTTAATAGTTTTATAATTAGGTTCTAATTTTTTTTTTTTTTTTACAAATTACTAGATATGTTTATATACCTGTATATTTGTGTATATATGAAAACATATATAAACATATTTTTATACATCTATATATTATACGTCTATACATATTTATATATACATATATACAAACATATATGCATATATGTAAATATTTGTTTATATATGTTTATATATACACATACAAACATATATGCATATATGTATATATGTTTATATATGTGAATATATAAACACATATATACATTTATGTTTATATATATAAACACACGTAGCAGAGAAGGTAGCAGTTTTTGGAGCTGTACACTGATTCCTGACATCTGGCATTTCCTTCGACCCATTAGAAACGAAATTAAAAAAATCACCAACTATCAGCTCTTAATCAAAGAGCAGGTGAAGCTTCGGTCTAATCAAAATCCCTTCCCTTCTTTTTCCCAACTGCCTCAATAGTCTTTAAGATATAGTTCTTCATTTCTGCAATTCTTTTTTTTTTCTGGGGCTGGAGGAGGGCAGGTGGGTTGAATGTTTGAGGCATGCCGTGGGAGGAGGAAGAGGAGGAGGAGGAGCAATGGATGGATGGATGAGAGCTGCTGGTGGGAGGCCTGGGGAGTTGTGGAGACTTCCTATGATGAAAAGGTCAGTGGCACCTGTAAATCTGGGCAGCTGGAAGAAGTGCAGGAGCAGGGGGAGGAAGTGGAAGGAGTTTAGCTGCCACTGCCCACACTGATTAGCGCACACACACACACAACACACATACACAACGTACACACATACACACACAGGGCTTTCGCTTTACTCTAAATCGTAAATATCCGTAACGAATCCCCAGGACATGAACCTATCCAAAATGACTGCACTCTACAAAAATGTCAACTCCATGAAACTCTTAAAGTACACAGTTTTTTACAAGGTTATTGGAAGTACACAGTCACAAACATCAGCACATCCATGCATCCCAGTTCCCCCACTAATATTTTATTGCAGCGCTGATTGGTGTATTTATTGCATTTTTCCCTCCGGGTCAAAATAACTGTATTTTCCCAATATTGGAGAGAGCAGTCCACGTTTTTTTTTCCAAACATTTCTTTTTTTTAATTTGATAAAATAGTGGGAAAAGACAACTTTTCCTGAGGAAATTTCACCACTGAACAGAGAAGCATCTCCAGCTGAGACTGACCCTCAATACATGATTCATGTCCAGGGCCAGATTTTTTTTTTTACTGCAGACAGTAGTGTGACGTTCAGCCAGCACAAGAAAACCCGACAGCATGTGGATGCTAGCAGGCTGCAGCATTAAACTCTATGACCAGGATATTTAACATAATGAGGGGAGATCTCGTTTCTTTATTTTCCCGGCTGTCAGAGAAAAGACGAAACCCGATCTTAAAGGTCTTCCCCGTGATAAAAATTGTTGATATATTTCCCTCAGCACCTTACACGTACAGCAGGAGAACACTTCATGCTAGCACAGGTGCAAATACATTTGCCTGTGATCCATCGGTGTGTGTGTGTGTGTTGCTGCAAGTGTCGCTTTACTGCCCACCCCTTCAGGGCAGCTGGGTGGCGGTGCAGGGCAAAAAAGGACTGGTCAAGGCTGCTTCCTCCTGCTGCAGCCCAGAAGGATACAGCCTGCTGACAGATACCTGCTCTGAGCTGACAGAACACTTCCTACTGCGAAATATGTACACGTTACATTTAGCTGACTGCGTATCCCCGCTGACTTCACGAATGCACAGCGGCTTTTGTAGCTGTTTTGAACCCGGGTTGTGTCTGTCAGACAGCAAGTGCTCTTCTTGTCAAATTGACACTTGTTTCAAGCTTCACTGATAAGTCTCTGCCCCCCCCGCCATGGGTGAAACACAGTGTGGTCAGTTTTCTGAGACACGCTGACTGCAATGAAACATCTGAACCACTAGAACGGCCGAGACGTGCTTTACAGTATACAGTGGTAGTATACAGAAATTTGGGATTTTGCATTGAAAAAAACAAACAAAAAAATTGCACGGAGCTACCATTCCTTCCCTGCAGATGGTGCTATGTACACAACAGTGTTTGACTTATTGAGGGGCTATAAATTAATAAACACCTATACATTTTTACATGAACAGGCCGTATGTCAAAGTACTTCAGATGTACGCTGTAGAAATAAACAGTAATTAGAACTTAACAGAATCTGTTGGACGCTATTTCAAATCTTTACATGGAAAATCCTTTACACCACCCCCAACACACACACACACACACACACACACACAACCTGCCCGACAGTCTATTGTATCAGCTGCTATATTTAATCACTGGATTGTCGTCCATATACAGAGTCAGGGGTGGCCTGCAGTCGAGCGACATTCTGAAGATGCACCGGAGAACAATAGCTGCTCTAGATTTCCAAGTGTCTTTACAAGGAAACGATCTGTCCTGACCCTTTTTCTGTTTTATGACACACACAGCCCAGAAAGTTCCCTGAACCTGTCGCTTCTCATTACCTTTACCATCGGTTCCGTCAATCCTATTCCTCCTGGGTTTTGTTTTATTTTATTTTTCTTTGGAGGGAGAGGAGTGGGGGGGTTTACAGTCTACACGTTCTTGGTAACGCAATCCCCCCCACAGCGTACCTCAGTGTCAGCATACCTCAAGTCAGTCCAGAGAACTCTGGTCGCTGTCACTGGAGCCCATTGTTATTTTGGAAGTAGCATGTGTTTGTCTAAGCGAGGCTCGGGTTTCCTGGTTCTCCAACGGGACTCCACTCTCTTTGGTCTGCAAAGGAGCCATGACGGATGGTGACCCCGGCAGCCGCTGCGTGAACCCCTCCACCCATGGCTCTTTTCACACCGTGCCATTTTTATTTACGAGGACCCAGATGAACCAGGGAAACTGTGAAGCAGCAGTAGCTACAGCTAAATGGTCAGATTTCATTTACTGGATTGGGATTATTTAAAGTAGAGCAGATGACCGGGGTTGACCACTGTGTGAAAACCAACCACGTGACTCAAGCTCAATACTGTACATTTAAGGGAGTATCTTTACTGGTATTTCTAAGTATTTACTGTATGTAATATACATATTATAATTTTAAAACATTTTGTTTTCAGACTTATATAGACAAGCCATTTTCTAGTGAATACATTTAAAACTACATCATCGATGCACTTTAGAAGAACATATTTTTATAACAATATTTTGCCCACAAAATTACATGAAGTACCTAAAGATAGTAAATATTGTAGTTTTTCACAAAACTTGGCATTTTCTAAGCAGTCACAGGAGGTCAAGGGTCATGCACATTTAACATTAACAGAAGTTGATGTTCTGACTCCT